TATATATATATATATATATATATATATATATATAAATATATATTTATATAAATTAATATATATATAGGAATAGGAATTTATATCTTGGCAGTATAAATAGCGTTGGATTATTTATTACAAATTTATCAAGACGTCAACAGGATAAATATTATGAGATGCAGGATGTTTTATTTACCATCTATGTAAAAATCGTAATCACTGTCGAATTTATTTATTGAATTTTATTGAAAGCAAATGATGTTTATCTGTTACAGTGTGTGTAATTTATCAAAAATAATTAAGAATAAATTTACCATCAACTCAACTATGTTTGTAATTAATTTAATTCTTCCAATATAATAATTGTTCTATGTTTAATTGAGAGAAATAAAAATAAATGATATATATTAATTGGCATTTAATTAAGGGTCAAAAGTTCCCCAAGTCGTAAATCATCAATTCTATTTGGTGATTTTGTTTGCGAGTGTTGTAATTGTAGCAGCTTACTGTTAATGTATAGCGCATGCCAGCAGTACTAAAATAATAACAAGAAATAAAAATAATAATGATAATAATGCTTTCTACACAGCAATATCGTTGTTAGAATCTCCTATTTCATATGATGGGATAGAGTTGCGTGCATTTATATGAAAAGCAATCAAACCAAGTACACACATGCTAAAATTTACGCTAACAAATAAACTTGAGTACCCGGAAAAAATAAATTATAAATGTTCTATTATGACCATACATACATTTAAACATAAATATGAATTTTTAATATTATTTAAACAGTATTGACAATTAAATCAATTAAAACTAAAATTTAATTAGTAATTTACTTATTTATTTAAAGTAAAAATTTTATAATGTTCCTATGGATCATATATATTCACATAGTAAAAATTTATGTATGATCATAAATATGAATAATTTTTCCTCGGGCATGTATTATGAAAATGAATCGTATATATGAATGTTAATGTTATATTGTGCTCACGGTGTTATTCCAAGTTAATAAATGAAGAAATATAATGTATGATTGGTGATTATGAATAAATAAAACGAGACTGGGGCTGAAGTGAAAACCTACGCATTGTTGTACACCATCAATGTTGAAGTTATTGATTTTATTTTTAAACGCGTTGAGATTAAAAAAACTATACAAATAATAACCGGCTCGTCATACTGTACATGTTGTATGCTGTATGTTGAATATTCATTTAAAGTATGATTGTGATAACATAATAGTGTAAATATAAATGTTATTATGAATCAGGAATAGAGAGCCTTTTCTATTTCTATAATGGATAACTGCGTTGACAGCATAGCAATATAATGAAAAGAGAGTAGAGAAAAATAAAAAGTTTAAAGTAAATGAGGTAAATATGTATGTATAATAGTAGTACAGCTTTTTAAACTTTTATCCTATAGGTCTATATGTTTTATCACATTATACTACTGTATTAAACAATAATTATAAAAAGAAAATTAAACAATACAACCATCTAACTATACTAGGTTATTCATTTAATATTTAATTATTTATTACACAAATACTACTTGCTTAATATCGACTTTATGAAACAATTATTATTTACACACGATTAACTAATAAAATAAATAACTGGGTTTATATGCTAACAAACAATATCCAAAGGGTTTTAATATATATGTTACTGTTATTATTTTTTTTTTTTTTATTATTGTTATCATCATCATTATTATTATTTATGTTTTTTTTTTTTTTTTTTTTTATTAATGATATATACGAGTTAGATGCATGAAAGATAGATAGACGCGATATGTTCACAAAAACACAGTTGCACGACGATTTGGTTTTTTAAAGACTAGGTACCTCGAACATAAGGAGGGGAAGCATGACAATTTCCATGGCAGCTACGTGGAAAAACTAGTGAAAGGCGCCTGAAAGCTTCGGCTAGATGACCTGTCGCCCCAATTCGTTCGCTCTCAGCAAAATCAAATTGCTCTCCGGTGTTATCTTCAAATAAGAAGCAAACGATATTTTTCCGAATTCGTCAGACACAACACATCACTATTCCATTAAACTATGTTTTATTACTGATTACTTTTTTTTTGTTAATCCCCTAATTTATTTATTATTTAACTTGTTTTATTGTTTGCACTGAGTAATGACTTTTGTTTAACGTTTTGTGACTTAATTGTTAATTTATTTTATTTATTTGCTCTGTATTACTTGTTTAAAGTCTGCCAAATTTCAATTTATCTACTCGAGCTATTTTTATTTTAACAAAATTAATGTTGAAATAATTTACCGGTTTAATAAGTTAATATTTTTATTTATGATTATGAACTGCAAGCTTCCAACAAACACAATGTAAAAATATTTAGACTGCAATTGTCCCAAGATGATACATGACAACACACAAATGGATTTGTCAGGGCATTTTTATCCCAATTAAGAAATGAGTACTGTTGAAAATTTCTGAAATTTCAGCTTAGTTCTATATTTTTACGCTTAAATATTGGATTGCATATTATTAAGCCATTACTTGAAACTTAATTTTAAAAATTATTATTTTAATTAAAAACTTTTACTAGATGAGAATTTTTATTAAAAAATTCAGATATATATTTAAAATTTTAATTCAAAATGTCATTTAATTTGATAGAAAAAAAAATTTTCAATGATAAAAAACATAATTAGTTTTCTAAATTTTTACGAAATTGCAAAAGTTGTTTAAAACATAATTTTTTATATAATTAGTAGACATTCAGATAAAAAAATCAATAGTTTTTTTCTTTGGAATTTTAAAGAAAAGTAATTTAATTTACGGTTTGGAAAAAAAATTATTTACTTTAGAGAAATTTTCAAAATATGATAAACTTTTGTATTCAATGTTATGTATAAAAAGTTTAATTTACAGAAATTTCAGAGAAATTTTCTTACAGTTTGTGAAATATAATACAATTTATTAATAATAGTGACAGATTTTTAATTAACTTTATTTATTTTATTCAAAAAACGTAACCGTGCAGACAAAATACATAGCACAATTAAACCTGACTCGAGATGAACAAATTTTAACGTGAGATTATACATAAGAATAATAGATGATAAGAATATAGTATATAAAATGAAAATAGCGATTAAGAGATAGAAATAAAATGGAAATTATAATAATAAAAAAATAGGTAAAAAATTAGAGTTATACTTTATAAACTATGTTATGGGAGATTATCATACTATTATGTGATAGTATAAACTTTGTGTGTTATGTTTATGACATGTGTATTCTATAATGGATATTATGATACTTAATATTGATACTAAAGTTATAGTACAAATATATATCTATTAATAATAATAACTTATGGTAGTTGTTTACTTGTAATAATTTTGTCAACAGTATTAAACTCTTAAAGTAAGCAATAAATAAAGAGTTTTGTTTCATTGAGCATGCGTATGCCAGTATAACACCTGTTTTAATATTTAATACGTAATACATATCACAAAGTAAGCCAAATAATTTTGCATTGTTTGATATTTGATATTATTAGAGGCAGCAATTTTTACAATTTTTCTTTTTTATTATTATTTACTATTGATAATTATTCTTGATTGAATTATTAATAGTTTGTGATTGTATTGCGCGGTTATTGAATTTATATATAAACTACTTGACTATAAATTTAATAAATGAATTTGTTGGAACGATAAATAAAGTTTAATTGAAATACTCACGCGTTGAGATTTCTCTCCGTCGAGAATGTACACCGATGATTGCCTCCATTGGCACATCGCTTCGCGGGATGCTGATTGCGTATGGAGGTAGATAAATCGGTTCTAAACTTCCGAAGGTGCATTCTTGTCTTACGGCCGGACTTTTGCGGCAATAAGAGTGTAACTAGAAATTAAATAAATAAATATCAAAAATCATTTTATAGTTAAGTTTGAAATTAAAAAAAAAAAAAAAAAAAAAAAAAAAAAAAACTAAAAAATTAAAAAATTAAAGCCGTCATTAATTATTGCTAAAAAATTAACCGATTACTGTATTTTAAGTTTTACGATATTGACTATAAAAGTATGACTTAAAAAATTTCAATTTTCTATTCTACTAAAATTTGCATTATATCTCTCAAGACAGTTATTAAACTTTCAATCTTGTCAAACATAAGAAAAAGTTCAAGATTAAGCTTATAGATTATTATGATTATAAAAGTGCATTTTTCCTGAACGTTCCCGTTTCGGCAATCTCCAGACTCCTGACACATAAAAAATAAGATTTATCGTGAAATTACCGTCATGCCACACCACTCGCATCGAAATCCCGACAGGCACTCAGTAGAACAGCAGCCCTTTTTGCATACAGCGCATTTTGAATTGGTCGGCAAATTTCCTTCTCGCCAGTGATGTGTATGAGTGACTGACGACAGGTCCTTTCCCGGCAGGTACGTCGCATTCTCCTTGCAATCCGCCAAAGCAAAGTCTTGACAATCCGTGTGCACAAAGTACTCGCAAACTTTAATTTAATTTCAAAATATATAATTAATTATCATATAAATAGATAAAAAACTTTATTCTTATTTTTGTAATGGTAATGAATTTTTCAATTACTTTCACAGTGTACGGACGGAGACGTGTCCTCAAGACGTTTTCGACAAACATTGCAAAATTTCTTTTTATGATGTACCGGTTCGGACCAGCAATGTGCAACCGGATTCTGGAAAAAGAAGACAAAAATTACAATTATTATTATTGTATTTATAAATTATTTTAACAATATAAAAGTTTTTAGCTAAACTTATATTAAAAATTTTGGCTTTATTATTGTCATTTGTCAATTTTAAAGTTAAGGTAGTACTGGCAATATTGCAAAAGTTTCACTTGATTTAATTAGTAAATTTATCTGTGCAATGTCTTGCTTAAAAAAAAAAAAAAAATAGTGACAATTCTTGAAAGTTTTATTTATCAAGTAGTATTATCATATACATTAAATCTGTATTTTCAAGAATAGGAAATATTCAGTCTGTTATTTACCCTCATTTTATAAAAATTTGAAAGGTACTTTTTGTAAAATAAAATAAAAATTGTGATTTTTTATAAGACTAATAAGTTGAATGCAAAGATTTTAAAAATTCATTATTTTTTACTAGTTCTCTTAGCTCTTTAAAAATTTGAAAAAAAAAAATGTAAGTTTTTTAAATTTGAAAATATTACCATAATACATGGAACAATAATCTACTAATATATAAAATTTCATTGAATTTTAAACAGTATAAATAAAATTATTTTTTGATCACTTAAAAAAATAAAATCAGGATTTGTTCAGTTAAGAAAGAACAAGTGTATGATAAAATATTACCGACAATTAAATAACGTCTGTCTGCTCAGCAATAGATATAACTACTTAACAACATCAGACAACCGGTTAACGTACGTTAAGTTAAGTTATGTCTGGTTCTTAGTCTACAACCAAACCACTTAGACAACAGCAGCGTAGTGTAGTGTACCGATAACATACTTTTCTATTATCTATCATCAACTACCTCATATATTAAACTACTCGTACATACATATGTAATGTACCTCATAGGAGACATATACAATACATATGGGTATATGTACCGATATTCTGAAAGGAAAAGTAGAGTAAGTAAAGTAAAGTAAGCTAGTGAACGATTCATTCACGTGTTGACATGTTTCATTCATCTACTGAATGAATCTTCCATTGAGTCTTTACTTGCCGCGGAACAGAGGTCGATACTGAACCTCTTGACTTAACCAAAAACCGTAACAATGCCACTACTTACCTCGTATCGTAAGAAAATTATTTTAAACATTCAACTTTACTTTTATTTATGTTTACGCTTCACTTCCTTAAGCTCCAACCTTTTCAAATTAAAGTCTTTACAACTCTACTTATTTCTATTTTTATAATACCGGTAATAGTAGTACTAAGTACCTGTACTTTTACTTGTAAAAAAATAAAAATAAAAATAGTTTTGTTCTTATATTTATGTTATATATAATACCTTAATGAGGTTTGCCGCGATGCTGGAGCAGGGAGACACGACGGCCGTGAGACAGCGTTCATGCACCATGAAGTTGCAAACTGTAAAAATTATTATTATTATTATTATTATTAATTATTAAATTAAAGATAGTTAATATTATAAGCCAGACTACCCGATCCAAATTATTGGATAATGACTAATTTTTCATTATTATTTCTTCACCATAATATTTGATGAGATTTCATACTATCAGAGAAAATTTAGGTGAAAATAACAATTAAAATTTGTTTTTTGACAATTATTATTAGTCAATAAATTTTCTCTGATGGTATTGAGACCTCATACCGATAAAATATTATGGTGAAGAAATAATAATGAAAAATTAGTCATTATCCAACAATTTGAATCGGGTAGTCTGGCTTATAATATTAACTATCTTTGATTTAATAAATTTAAAAACACCGATCTTCATATATTAAATATACATTATTATTATTATTGGTATTATTATTCTGAATTAACCTAATATAAATTTATGAATGTAGAATATGAAGATTTCAAATAACTAGGACAAAAGTCTTTGTGTTGGATCAACAGGAGATCAGTTTCAGTTGATCCAATTCCAGGGATCATTTGAGGGGATAAAATGTATGTTGCATAATAATGTATCGAGGAAATGTATATGATAGGTGGTAGCATAGTAGAATAAAAGAATAAAACAGAGTAAGTGTAAGAGTTGAATGCTAACTGGCAGAGTTAATATTTAATGTTTGATGTTGAATGTTGAATCTAAAGTCGAAGAATCGATTAGATATTAATGTTATAACATCATTGTAGGTGGTAACGCATGAGTAGACACATTAATATAATGCACTGTCGACATTTCTCTGGCACGTGTTTGTCTTCTCCAGTTATTATAGTTATAGTTATAGTTCTATTTAACAGTATACTACTGATCATGAAGTATGAGTAGCATATAATGTAACTCTTTTTGTAATTCAACTTGTTAGTTCTTTCTTCTTTCATAATCGAGGATTTCTTTCTCCTCTTCACTCTCATTATTTCACACGGTTATTCGCATGGTTGTTGCAAATCTAAATAGAATTTTATCGTAACGTCGCTCTATTTTTCAAACAATAACACTCATTGGATGACAGCACGCGACTCCGTGACGTTTGCACGCCACTCAGTGGGGTTATACGTTTCCGGTAACAAAGCTAAAATAAACCGTCCTCGTTGATGTTCAGGCTATACGCACTTCTCTTCTCTTGTTTTTTTTTTTTTGTTATTATTGTTTTTGCTACAACATGCGGCCGTATTTTTTTAATTTTATTTTTTACAGCAAACCGACTCTCATCGTCCTCCACTCACGTAAGCTATTTCAGCTGCATATTAATATATATTTTTAAAATACATAATTTTATGACGTTATAAAAGTACATTGTATAAATGTAATCGTAATTTATTATTAAAAGGTCAAAGGGAAATTGAAAAAAAAAAAAAAAAAAAAAAAAAAAAAAAAAAAAAAATGTAAAAAGTGTAAGAAATACACTTTAGTTTGTTCTGACCAATTATTCTTGCGATCAGATTTTTTAATTGATTAAAACACCCACTGGTAGCAAAAAATAATTAAATGAGTTACTGATGGAAAATGACTCGCTAAAAGTTTGTCATGTTATTTTAAAAAGTTTAATACGGTTAAGAAAAATTTATTAAACTATATTAAATAATGGAGTCATTTTTCTTTTACCCTGCTGCCAACTCTTCTGTAAAATCTAATTACTAAAAAATTTAAATATATTATTTTAAATAGTAAAGTAAGAAGGATTTACCCTGAAAAAATTACTAAGCTAAAATTACTATATAGACAGGAAAAAAAAAAAAGTTAATGTATGATGAAGCAGATTTACTTTGATCATATTAGTCTTTTTTAATTTCCGATGGCAACTTATACTTATGATTCAGCAGCTTTTACAATGATGAAAATAAAAGTTTCTCTATTTCTATGGAGTTCATATAGTCATCTGCTTTGTCATAGGGATACATGTCTTTAACTTTTATATTAGGGTGAATCATTCCAAAATCTGCCTCTTATGCCTCCAACCAAGCCTCGTTCCAACTGATGATAAATTAATGTTCAAATTTCTTCGAAAATAAATGAAGGAGTTTCAATAAAAAGATTGCAAGTGACAAAATAAAACTTTTTGAGTTGTTTCAAGTACATAAAATATTGCTTTTATAGAAAAACTTAATTATTGAGCCCTTCTAGTTACTGGCATGAAATTTGGGTGAAAGTTATCAAACGAATCTTAGATTTATTATTTTTATCTCCCAGCTCATTTATTCTTTATAATGATTTTGATAAAGTATGTAGGTCGATTACATTATACTGAAAAGGGGAAGACATTTGATTCATTTTAGAAAAATTCGAGCGATGCTATACTTATATTTATATATATATTATCCCAAGAAAATGATATCATCTTCTAATTTTTTTTTCAAATAATTTTAGTCTCTAGTTTTTGAGCTAGTATAATTAAAGTTTTTAAATATTTTTCCGTAGAATGAATATGATATGTACATGATACTTAAAGATCGAAGTTTGTAACAGTACTCTCGGTCTCTATATTTGTTTTAACTGTCAAAGAACAATGCTGAACTGTTATGAACAAACTCTGTGACGTTCTTTGTACATTGAACAATGCTCTTAGCCCAGTAAGTATATAGTTTGCGTATTCGTTGCGTTAGCAAGTCTGTTTTGTCTCTCCTCTGGGCAAAGATGAATAGAGTGTTTTGTGAATGTCTGCATACAATTATAAACGAACAAGAAAGAGAAATTAAAATAACTAGTGAGACTGAGGATACTGAAACAGTACAGAGTGTGTATACGATAGAAGAAAATTCAACACCAAAAATAATGTAAAGACAAAAAGAGATAAAAAATAGTTATGACTCAAAGAAAAAGTAGTATAACACTAAGAATACCTACTCTTCATTGCGTCAATAAATTTTAAAAGGAGTTTACCCACTTTTCTCTTTACTTCTCCTTTACAAATTTGTTATTTTTTCCTTTTTCGACGTTTTTTTTTTTTTTTTTTTTTTTTTTTTTTTAAAGAAAATTGCTAGTATACTTATAGTATACTTATCCCTCGAGGAAAACTATGTATAGTGCAAGGGGCATTTGACGTCACATGACGCCGAGGGAGCTGTAAGTTGTTGAAACGCGACGGCGGATAAGGCCACGAGACCACCAGTGGAAAGAGGACGGATAGGAAGAGGTCGAGAGGGCCAACGGTAATAAAGCGACCAGGAGCAAAAAAGCCTGAGAAATATGCACTGAGCTTACTCTTTATTCTCTTTTTCTTTATTTTATTTTTTAACTTATAATCCAGCCCGCCTCTGCTCTTTATACCCAAACTTTCTGTCTTGTTCCCGGTCTTTTAGATTTTAGATTTATTATTATTTTTTATTAATTCAGGGGTTTTGTTTAGCAGGAATGAATGCCCAGTATCCAGTACCCAGTGCGAGTTAGTTCTTTGGATTTTTATTTCTTTCTTTTTAAATGAGGCCACGCATGCCCTCTTGCCCCGCTATTCCTCGTTCAACAGTACCAGATCGGACTTATTTGCAAGCTCACAATTGAAAATCCCTCGGGATTAAAATTTATAGAATTTCTGGTTATAACTGTAATATGAGTTTGTTACATAAATTGTTATTACAATTATAAATTTTAAAAATATTTATTAAAGCAGAAAAAAATAGAATCTGGGTGTGTGATTTAGAGTTTTTTTGGCAGAGATTAAATTATTGTTGGTTTTTAAATATTTTTTATTTGAAGCACGTTTGTCATGTTTGCCTCCTCACCGCCTCCGTCAACCCGGGCATCCACTATCCGCTATTTCATTCTATATATCCTATATACATACATATACATCTTGCTTGCTCTTTCGTGTTTTCATAGTCAAGTATCCCAATACCACCAGAGTCCCACCACTATCACCAGCATCACCACCACCACCACCCCACTCCCACGATCAATGCTCGCAAGCCAAGCGACATGGTTGCCCTCTATTCCAACTAAACATTACTCGTTCTATTCTCCCGCCGATGAAAGCTTGAGTGTACTTGGTATGGTACTTGACGAGTGTACGACTTTTATATGTGGACACATTTATATAAATATTCTATGTATATTTTATGCTGTATGATGATCACCAAGTACTGACACGCAAATAAAATCTAAGAAACTCATCTTTATGTCGCTAGACGTCACCAATGAAAGACGATGATAACTGAACTGATAAAGATCAATGATAAAAAAAAGTATTAAATTAAAAGAGTTGATAAAAAAATTATTTTCGCGTATCACTTGATCGATTGTAATATTAATTATATTTATATTATTAAATAAAAAAAAAAAAAATAAAATGAACCTCTACTCAAATAAGTTATTATAAACTTGAAAAGTAAAACGATAAAAAAGTATCAAGTATTACAAAGTATATTAGTCACGAGAAGGCAAGGTAACGGTGGTTAGAGGGTAACAATTGTTGGTCACGAATCCACCGCAAAAATTACTGTAGGCTTTAACCCAGAAACCTAGAGGCATACATAGCGCTCAATGGGCACCATTCATTCATTGGTGTGCAGGAGGTCAGTCTCACCCTGTACTGTTAGTTGCTGATGTGCTTTATATTTCTTCCCAGACTTTAGAGAATAAATTGTGAGCAAAATAATGAAATAAAAATTTAAATAATATCTGAGAGAGAAATAAAATAAATGAAAGCTGAGTAAGAAAAAAAAATAATAAAAAGTACTCTCGTTGATTGGAACGATAAAAATAACACAAATAAAATAAGTTTAGTAGAATAAAATAGAATAGAGTCGAGGAGAGTAGAAAAAAAGAGGTTGAAATGTTTAATATCGATCATTGGGCATGTTAATTATGCCTCGTGGCACAACAAACCCGCTGAGTAGAGTAGAGGGTAGGAAAATATTTTCCGTTCTATTCTATTCCAGATTTCAGAGCCATTTGAATAGTAATATAAATATAAATATACAAGAGCCACGCTTACTCAAGCGTTACTTTTATTTGTTGATACAGTTGTTGTATTGTGTCTTTGTGTATGACTGACAAAGTTTTTTGGAAGATTAAATAATTTTTTTATCGTCATTATTCTCGACTCGAGTCGTAGGCGACTTGTCTTTTGCTTGCTTTTTTTCCAATATTAGTATTAATATCAGTGTGGTTTTAAATGTGCATACCCAGTTAAGTGCGTATCCTCGTGGGGAGTACCTGAGGACATGACAGAGGGTGTGGGAATGTGGGTAGGTCACCACCCTTTCTTCCGTACAATGTATTATCGCTCCTTTGATTATTCTCGAGTGTCAAATGAAGGGCCTGAAGATCTGTAGAGAGAGAGCTGCTTTGGTAACGAGGTCGCGCTTTAACTCACTGTGACATTATATCTCAAGGGTGGATGTGAATCACTCGGGTGAGAATTATACGATAGGCATAGATAAATTTAATTAACCAGCAGTTGAGCCGTCGTTATGATCAAATATATAAAAAAAAATATAAAAAAATTGAGTGGAAAGTCAATGTAATGAGATGGTCGAGTGTCTCGTGGAAAAATTCAACATTTTTCTGCTAAAAAGAGAGTAGAGAGTAGATACATTTTTATATATTAATAGTAATAACAATAATAATAATAATAATAACAATAATAATAATAATAATAACAATAATAATAATAATAATGAAAATGATAATACCTTCGCAGATGTAGTTCCCCTGTCCAATGATGCCCCAGAGCCGATCGGTGCAGCTATGGCAGAACGTAGGTTTATGGAACGTTTTCTGTCTAAAGCTGTGCCCGTGGCTAGCTGGAGTCTTGGCCGAGGTCGACGCCATGTTCCCCGTTCCACCGCGGCGCCGTTCACGCCAGATTTTCACCGTGAAGCTACACAAGGCGCAACGCGCTACCACATTACATTTCTTCTATGTTATCTCGAAACCGTACGCGAACATTTCGCTGCTGCCAAGGGCACTCCCGTTTAACGAGTTCAAAGTGCCTAAGGCGCATTTCCGGAGGCTCGCCTTGTTGTGCTCACTACAACACAGCTGACCATCACTCTACTCCAACAGTACTTAAAATATTTTTTTTACTTATCGCGCATCCGTCAAACGGAGCGGGCCACGGGATGATGATAGTGAAATATCTCCTGGCATCGGCTCCGATTCGTAGCCGAGGGAGGGCGCACCTCGTTTACTATTCAGGCTGCTCCTATCTCACCCTGATGAGGACCGTGCGCAAGCTCACGAGGAGCGACGCGAGCCAAACACTTTTATACACACCAAATCTCTGATTTTTATTTTAATGTCTCTGTACTTTTATTATTTCTTCTTCCCTTTGCTTATTTTATAAAAAAATTATCTTCTCCTCCTCTTCTTCTTCTTCTTCTTTATAAATTTTCCTCACTCTTCAGACTCAATCCTGTTAGTAATAATTATTAATTATTATTATTATTATTGATATTATTTGTCACAAAACAATAACAAGAAAAATAATAACACGACGGCGACGTACGTACGACGCTCAACGTCGGTACGGCGCGGCCACTAGCTCACCATGTGATTATGCACAACACCACCACGACCCACACTTTGGTCAACGCAACGGTACTCTGAGCAGAGTAGTCCTCTATTGAATCGGCATACCACACAAGCTCCGAGAGTAAGTCCCTTCTCTCAAAGCTTTTTACGCCATCAGCAGCAAGACGTCACTAAAATCCGCGCCGACGCGACAGTGCTTAACATTATATTACCCAATGACTTGTAGCTACTGAGCAGCCTTTATCAGACATGCGCCACGGTACCCCGCGGGTTCTAAATAGCTGGAAGAAGCTTGCAAGCCTACACTAAATACTCAGACTCCCACAATCTTACGCCGCTTTGTCTACCACGTGCCACTAAAAATGATTTAAATCACTTGGTTTTTATTTTATTACCTTTATCTTACGATATTACTCAATAAAAATTACAATACTACTTATTCAATTTTTTTTTTTTCAGGAAGACTAGTTGCTTGTTTTTAATAAATTATTTATTTTTAGCTAACAGCGACTCCATTATCCATAAATATAAATCAGCAGATTCTGTCATCAAGTGATTTATTGTGCTCCTGATGTTATTGTTGAAGACTTTTGGAAACTTTTGTATTAACTTATAAACTGAATTTTTCGGGTAACTATTAGAATTTTCATAAATTCTTGAAGCTGATACTCCATCTATAAAACGTATATGCGGGAGAGCGCTAGGTAAAGAATCAATGCCCGTTTGATTTGTGAAAGACATAGTTTAAATAAATTGATTTTACAAGTATTGACTTGTAAATAAATTTTCATAAATTAATTAACTTCATTGTTACGAAAATTCCGGGCTCGGTTAATATTTAAGCGAGTAACTGATCGATATAAATCTTGGTGGTTTTATTATCACTTTTTATTGGTAGTTGAGTTTATATTTGACATTATCGAAGCACGTTTGATAAATAAATACGCTACTGTTGATAATTTTTATAGTTTATTCCCAAGTTGACACTAAGGGAGCGTCATTGTAACAGAATTTAATACCTTTTTATTGATACTTAAAACGAACGTTTGATTAGGTCAATTTAATCTAGTAATCGTTGATTAGTGACGCGGTAGTTTTTTATTTGCAACACTTAAACCTTTTATTAATACTGAATACTATTTTATTGGAAAATAATTAAAGATCTGTGACGAAGACATGATAGGAAGTTTGCTTATGCGCGTGTCCATTACCTATTTCGTGACATGTCAGAGGTGCGCACGTTGAAATTATTGCGCGTGCTCGCTCTCAATATTTTGATCCTCGCTGAATTTTTGAGCATCAAATATTTTCCTTTTTTTTTTTTTGAAGCTATATAGTTTTATAAAATAACAATTAGTATATTACATACCTAAGCCAGTAAAATAAGAAAAGTCTCAGATCACATGTAATTGTTGGCCGAGGTGGACAAACATGTGATCTGAGGCTTTCTTATTTACTGGCCAAGGTATGTATACTATTTTTCTGCTCGACGTAGCCGGAATGTGGCAACTTTGTTTAGCGCAGCGGCCAGAAAGTTGCCACTTTCCGGCCGGAGGGCAGAAAAAAATATTCTTTGATTTATTGTTTATAATTTTGACTATTATTTCTACTGTTGAATTTATTATTATTATCATACATTGCATTGTGGACGGAGCATATAGTATGATTGATTTTTTTCACGTTTCTTCATGTTCATAAAACATTTTAGATCTTGATTACCAAATACAATTATTTTTTTTTTAATTTCATACAAAACAAATTGTATAATATAATATTTAATGTATATATATTTATAATTCATGATTTTATTTGATATAATTGATCGTAACACCCTTATGATTTATAATATTAATAAATTAAAATTAAAACTTAATATTAATATCATTATAATCATTAAAATTATTCTTAAATGCACCGGTTTAGTCACAGGTTTCGTTTGCTTACTAACTACTTATAGTAATAACAATTTAATTGTGCGTTAAATTATAAAAAAAAAATTGCTGCTGACTTAAAATAAAAGTACAATAATGCAAAAAAATTCGTTGTATCACGAAAAAGTGCTAATTATTAAGCTAAAAAACTAAAAAATCACTAAAAAAATTGGTAATTGGAATGATAAAAAAAAAACCTTGACAAAGTTATTGTAAGTCAGGGTAGAGAGCTATTCTATGAAAATAATATCAATTATCCGAGTCCATGATCTTCGAAAAATCCTTGAGGTGTTTCCTCCTAAAACATAAAAAAAAATTTCAATCAGTTAATACATAATATTTAAATAATGAGGAGTTTTATTGTATTTAATGTGTAAATTACGGTCAATATGAATAGGGATCAATTAATTTGATGCTGCACACATTTTAATTTTGTTAATGATACATTTTACGAAACAATATATGATTTATAAGCATATACAATACACGTACCTACTTCGTAAATAATATCTTCTCATAGCAGCTTCAAATGGCGAACTGAACCCTTTTCATATGACTGAACAATTATTAGTGCAGTTAAAATTTTTAATAACAAATAAATTAACAATAGTTCATTGAACAAAAAAACAGTTTATAAATATATTTTCTTCTTTGGAAGCATTCGACGATCTATAAATAATAATTTATCTCTATTTGTTTATGATATAATTAAATAATGAAAGTGATACATAGATGTAAATAATTTCTTGATTATGATTTATAATTTTAATTATTTTTAAATACATATTATTTTTATTGCCATTAAATTTAAATCCCTACACTACACTCAGACAGTAATAATTGATAATTGAATGTTTCTTTATCACAAATTACAGATAAAACTATCAGTTACATATTTTTTTACTAATGGTAAAATATATTACTTTTATTTGGTTATCATTATGTTAAGTTAAATTATATTTATATTTATTTTTTAAATCGTAGAAGCACATGGAAAATTTAGTATAAAAATATTTGGAATCCCATGATTGATTGAATCGCGAGTAGTATGTTATAAATATAAATATAAATATATATAGTATGGCAAGTTGTAATATAATTAGTGGTTTGTATTATTATAATAAATTGTGTATGAGGCGAGATGGGCGAAGACATCGTCAGGCAGATGAAGGATTGACTGGTTGGAGATCTTGGTGGTCTTTTCGATGACTCGGAACACACAACATCGGAGCTTTTACAAAAGCCCTATTTCCCGTAGAGCTCCTTCGACAGCTTCATCCTTCCACAAACAAAATAAATACTAACTAGTTTTTTCTACGTGCTCGTTCCTTTATTCTTTTAACTCTATAAAATTTTTTTAAAAAACAGTTGTTAAACACAATTAATTAACACATTTACGCGACAATGTTGAAGCCTGAAGCCTTCATACAGATGCAACGCCTTATTGTAACTTAAGTATTCATAAAGCTTATATTTTAAAGTAATAATAATGATAATAATGGTAACTCAATTCACCTCTATCTATTAAACAAAATTCAATTTTTAAAGTGTACACATTTCATAACATTATAAATTTTTAATTATTTATATAATACATTACATGATGTTGATTTTTAGTCTTAATACGTTTTGTAACAAACAGAAATGATTTATTGAACACTGTAAAACATACAATTACATAATTAACATTTTTGTTAAATAGAGCAGCATTATTTCAATTTTTTTTAATTTTCATTTGTACATTGTTTTATACGATCATTTATTATGCATTACTAAAATATATGTATATATATATATTTGTTTCATGTAGTAATTATTTTTGAGATTCATATATTTTATTTAAAATAATATAATTTTGGTTGTATTTTAAAAACCCGACTAGAAGGTTCTAAAAAATAATAACTTTATGTAAATATGTTCATGATTATACGATTCTTAGAAAATAAAATGAGAGAAACATCAAAAGATTCAGTAATAATAATTAGTAATCTTTTTTTTTTTTTTTTTTTTTTTCAAACAAGAAATTATTATAAAGTGCAATTTTTATTTGGTTAAAAAATTAAGATTAATTATATTATATTTACGATTTAAAATTTTATAGTTCATTTATTGTCAATTCAATGGAAGAAAATGGTTGTAAAAAATTTACTTTCATGTCACGATAAGTATAGTCAAAGTTCTTTTAACTTAAATTAACCTTGTTTAAGAATATGCGTTTTGTCAAAACATGTAAAAAAAAAATTATTTTCTTAAACAAGCTATTTAGATTTAGATGAATAAAAAAAATTACAAAATTCAGTTTGTTGTTTTTAAGACTAAGATAAAAAATTTTAATTCATCAAAGTTCAATTAGTAACGATAAAAATTATCTTTTCCCTATGTTAAACTCATAAGGTATTCATACCACGGAACTACTTTTGTCTTGGAAAAACGAATTTTCAAATTCACAGAGTCTTCTTGTATGAATAAGAAATATTTCTCCAGTGAATAATTATTCTTAGGTACAAAATGTAAGCTAGGACGACGTTAAACACTCTAATCATCAATAAAAGATTATTCACGATCCAACTGTGGGTTATAATTAAGCATTAAATAAATGTAGCTATCACTATAAAGGTTAAAAAAAAATTCTTTAACGCAGAAGGCAAGAAAACGGTTGTACTGTGCTAACAAGCTCATAATAAAATATTCAAATGAAAACTATCGATCCTACATTTTCTCTGCATCAATATGAATGCAACATTCTTACAAGAAAATAACTATCATCGGTTGAATATAAATATCTATGAAAAAAATATATATAATATATTAAATCATCTATATAAAGCTATATAATAATAAATTTCTTATCGCCTATAAATGATATATACATATATATAACTAATAATTATATATTTTTAAATACAAATTATAGAAATGCTGCTCTATAAAATACACTTACAATAATAAAATAATTATAGCAAATAAGACAAGCTTGCATACATTGACATAACAAGAAAAACATAAGCTCGCTCTTATTTTGTTTAGCACTTCCCAATCTTCAATTATTATTAAAAGAATATAGAATAATTATATTTATATTAATAATAGTAATAATAAAAATAATAGTTGTATTTTGGCAAGCCTCTATGTTGAGATTCTACATTAAACATTGATCACAGCAGTGCATGCACACACATTAATTCATGCATTCGACAAAGGACGACACAAATGACAATTTTTTAATTAAAAGATACACAGCAACAATACATATATGTTTTTGTGTTGATTAAATTAATAGTATGTGTCTCATATACAATTATTAATATCGAATTTAATAGATATATTTATAGTCAATATATACATATATAAATATATGTTCTCTTTTAGTTTGATTAAACTAATAATTTATTGCGATGTAATTTAATAAAAAAATTATGCTTGAAAATTAATAATTCCCCATCATTCTAACACAACATTCTGTTTTTTTCTTTTGTTTGTACTTGGAAAAAAAAAAAAAAAAAAAAAAAAAAAAATTATTTGATTCGATCAAGTTATTATGATTTTTAGTACAATAAAAGTTATTTGAATAAGTATTAATTACTAGTATTATCAGTATTAATTATTAGTGTAAGTCAGCCAACTTAGTAATCGAGTCCTGTTGACTGTTATTGAGATAATTATATCCATAATGCATATTTTATTATTGTGATGTAAAGTAAATCTCATGTTAGACAAAATTACAATTCTAAAGGTACATTGCCATAACTAACCTCCTGCAGTAAATCCTGTGCTGCTATAGCCTTTAATACATTTTTTTTACTGGTTTCCTGTATTTCACCTCCGACCAACAGCTCGTCTAGGATGAAATAGGCTTTTTCGAAATTGAAAATAATATCCAATTCACATACCTACAATTAATTCGTCATTAATAACAATGAACAATTATTTATGTCAACATTATTAGTATCAAATTGTTGGCTTACACTTCCAAAATATTTATCCAACAATTCGACGTATCTGTGGATAATTTCTAATGTTAATAGTTCATTGTCATTTTGTTCAATAGCACAGCAGAAGTACAAACTTGCATATCTGTAATCAATAAAACAATAAGTTCAAGTATTGGTAATGGAAATCAATTTATTACAGGCTGAGAGTTTTAAAAAATTTTTCTATTTTAATGTATAAGTTTCCTGTCCACAGACGAACAATAGGTGTCACATCCTAACTGTTTTCAGAATAATAAATAATTGAGTGTTTTCTTTTTAATTGACAGACATAACTTACTTAAATTTTTTTTTAAGTCAAATATTCTATTGCCTTATATTTTCAGTTTGATATTTAGACCAGTTATATCCTCCAATATCTACTGATAAATAAAAACTAAAAAAAGTTTTAAAATCAAAAGACTTTTTTAGGCTATTCAGATTCATATGAGTACTAAATACTTTTAAATATTTTTTAACAAAAAAAAAATACATTGTAATTACCTTTTATAAACAACTTTAACATCCTTCCATTCAAGAAAACTAGACATTTTAGGTTTTCGGGCAAGTATTGTCGTTATTAATTCCCGTGTTATTTTTTTCTTGAGTTTATCTGGATGTGCTACATACCATTTTTGTAACCGCAATTTACCTTGACGACTAAATAGTAACATAAATTGCATCTGAAAATAAAAAACAATAATTAAAATTTACATCAAACGAAAATACTAAACATACTATAATTAATTACTTACCATTTTCACTAAAAATAATTATTTAACTCTATAATGAACACTAACAAGAATGAAAACCTAAAAGTGCCAGGTATCTTTTCGACACGACTGATGTTTTTAAAACGTCATTATAAAATTACAAGTTATGATGAGTAATTTTAAGATGCACTTACAATGAATGATCAATTACACTCATCTAGAGAAAATTTTTATGTAAAAACGACAGGATTGGTCAGTCTTAGGTTAAGAACTGACGTCGTTGGTCGGGACAAAAGAATGTAAGAGTCATGAAAACGCTGTGAGAGTCTCTAAAGTTAAAGGAGGGACTTGAAAAGCCCGGGAAGTGGCGACATCTAGTAGTGAAATTTAAAATAGTTTGATTGGTAAGCGAGTGAAACGATACGGTGACATCATACTCTGCCATCAGCCATATTGTCTTACTGTTGTGATTATAAGAACAACTCTTGAACCTGTCTTGTGTTATATTTTTTTTTCCCTGCGTCTTTATTGTTCTAACCCACCACATATTATTTTATTTTTTTTTGTTTTTATCTATCCAACTCGTCTATGCACTTTCTCTCTCTGATTATAAATAAATTAATACTGCGTTAATGTATCTGTCATATTAATTTAGTTCTTGTAGTGAGGTTATACTTTTTGATACACATTATTTAATTAAATTCAAACTATAAATAGAAAAGAAAAAGTTATGACAAAAATTACCGGTGACTTAAAAAACGTTTAAATTTATTCTAGTGAATTGATAAAAATTTTTTATGTGAATTTCAAAGTTTTAATTTTTTATACTGATAAAATGGCTGAAAATTTGGGAAAACGTCCTTCTAAAGGAATTCTGAAGACATCTAGTAGTTTTGAAAGCCACGAGGCTCCTCCAAAGTAAGAATAATTATTTATACTTTTATATAAATATGTAGTGTTGCAAATTGTGATTCGCTAATTAAATAATTTATTATATTTAGACCTAAAAAGCAAACTAATTGGGATGAAATGAATGTCCTTGCGACGTTACATCCTCCAGAAAAAGATTACGGGCATATGAAAATAGAGGAGCCGAAAACACCTTACAATTATGAGGGATACGGAAATAGCCATGAGGATGATGAACTCGATTCTTCAGCAGTCAGTGAAAAGTATGAAAATTTTATTTTATTTTTTTAATTCAACTCCAATTTTAATTATTAATTTTTTATTTTATTTTTAAATTGAAGGTTATCGAGAAATAGTCAGCCGAGAATATTTCAACAATTAGACGACGAGGAAGAGGATGAGCTAGACACACCTGAAAAAATAGGTAATTATTGTAAAAATTTATTTAAGTATAAAAAGTGAATTTATTTGACTGATTTATAAATTGATTATTTAGAAAAGCGAAAAGCCTTCTTAGCAAAACGGAAAGGCCATTACAGAGAATGGGACGCAGTAACGTTGGCGCGTAGTAAACAATTGTTAGAAGAGGACGAGGACGAAGATGAGGAAAATAAAGACAATAATGATCCTCACAATTCTGATCAAGAAGATCATCCAGTAGCTGATAACAATGAATCGGAGCCTAGTGCTGACTCAAATACTGCTACCAAGTGCGTGTCATTATCTTGTGATAGTGAAAATAAGTCAGAATTGAACTCTCCGGAGTAAATTAGCTTGTGCTCTTTTTTATTACCTTGAGTTATTTTTACTAGTATAACATAAGTTATACTTGTATACTTAGCAGAATCGGTTTCCGTAAAACGATTAACTCTAATCTTATCTTTTGAAATGATCATAATCATGACTATGACATCTGATGATAATATTAACGCTCTTTAGCTATTTAAATGTATAGGTTGCTTTGTAAAAAGTCTTATTGTTAGAATTATATTATATTGTACGTAGTTACAGATAAGCGTGAAATTGAGGCATACTTTATCCGTTAGAATAGAGTCTTATTTTGAGAGATTAAAAAAGCTAAGAGAAAACATATTATGTATGTTTGATACGAAAACTTCCATTTATTAATTGATAAATTAATAAATTCTTCCGAATTATTAAAAATAACTTGATGCTTGTTCATAATTAATGAGGCAAGTTGTATATTTATACAACGAACTCAGACTGATTGCAGATGCAGTTTGAGATACTTGGTAGCGTTTTATTATTTTGATAGGATAAATGCTTTTTTTTTTTTCTTTTTATTTATTGATTAACTCAAACTGTCTTGAGCACTAAGAATTTATTTATAATTACAATATCTTTGGAGTGAAAAATTAAGATGCAGTGTTTAACAAAAGAATATATCGATCATAACAAAGATACGCAGTAATAAGGTTGATTATGAAAGTGAATATTTTATACGTAAAATTATAAATAGGACTAAGATAAAAATAGTATATTGGGAAATTTGACTCTACTGTATAAAAAAATATTTTCCCGGTGTAAGTCATTATCACTATGTAATAATATTATTATACCTACATATATCTATATATGTTTTCATTCTTTAACGTTGGATTTTGCGCATGAAATATACATTTTTAGAAATCAATAGATTAAAAAGAGGTCAAAAAAAAATTTTGATTTTTCTATAAATTCATTAAGTCATTACTCATTACTATTTTACTAACTTCAATAAATGTTGGCATTATATCAATATATTTATATTTATTTATAATTCTACTTTATATTTATAATACTGACCTAGTGATGACAAATTATTAACGCGCCGTGTAATTTTGTGATATTTATTTTTTTCTTTTGATAAAAATTTATTTCATATTTACAAAGTTATGTCGAAAAAACTATATATATAAAATAAAATAAAATTTTTATATTTTATTTTTTCCTTAAAGACTTAATTATTAAAATCCCTTGAGATTTTTATTAGGATTTAACTAAATGTACAATTGTGGCAAATGTTGTAGAGATTCATTAAATTATATTTTCAGAGATGTAATAAAATATTTTTCTGCAATATATTAATTATTATTATAAATTAATTCATCAGTTGGTTTTAAAAATAATATATTTTACAGATTATCTATAAAAATTTTACTGTGTAAAATTTAATAGTAGCCAATGTAGGAATTGGTAGTTTAAAAAACAAAAGATAAATATAAAAAAAATCAATACAAAAATTAGCAGATTAGCTACTAGTAAATCGATATCGCAAAACTTTACTTGAATTTAATAAAAATAATTAATAGTAATAATAAACTCGGCTTTTTTGTTTTTATTCTGAAAGATTTAAATTAATTAAATTGAAGAGGTTGTAAATCGACACATATTAAGTTAGATATTTATCTATGTTATTGTTATTGATATTTGATGCATGAAGTGTGGATTAACAAATCGATAGTGTAAACAAAATAACACATACATTGTATTTTTTTCTAGACATAAATAACATTTACCATATGTAAGCATAAAAAAGTAGTACATAAAAATAATAAAATTAATTATATGTATACAGGAAGGATTGTGTATCTCGAAGAGAAAAAAAATTAAAGTCTGGATGTTGTTCATCATGTAAATCATCGACGTGCGATCGAAAGAAGCTTAATAAATGAAAATTGCGATATATTAATTGATATTTTCTCCAGTATGTGAAATAGAAAAATCAAACTTAGTTATGTCCGATGAAATGTATAAAATTATATTGTAATATTCATTATAAAAAAAAAAAAAAAAAAAAAAAAAAAAAAAAAAAAAAAAAAAAAAACAAATCAAGAGTATAACATCGCCGTCCTCGTGTTATATTGGATGAAATTCACGAATAACATGTTTTAAATAAAATTATAAACGTCGGATTATTACAAGTAATGGCCTACTGCAATGTATATTTTCCAGTGTGTGCCGTCGAATATTAAAAAATATAAATAAAATTTAATAATAGAGTGACGACGAGAGATATGTGTTGCACTTTAATTTCACATATTAATATTAGAGTAAGTAGTATGTGTGTCCATCCATATAGATATTTAATGGGGCTTGAGTAATATCCTGGGACTGTCGAGATATATATGTATCCAATCAAATCAATAGAATATTGTTCAATGATTAAATATTATTTATAAAATATAAAAATATATATTTATAAATACATTGTATTGATAAATATATATATATATATATATATCTTTCGAATAAAAATAAAGCCGCTGGATAAATTGAATTTTATTTTCTTTATTTTACTTCTTAGTTCTCAGTAAGTTTGCTTGAGCTTTTATTATTAATTAAAATCAACGCATCAAAGTATGCGGTAACAAGCTTTTATAAATTGCAAAGTTATTAAGTTAGACATAATTATATTATATGATCTTTATTATTTTCCTAATTAAAGTTCTTAAACTGTATTAGTTCCAGCTTTTTTTTTTTCAAGTTAAAAAAGTGATTGGCAATAAAAAGTTAAAGACAAAATTTTTTTCTTATCATTTTCAAAGATTTTATAAAAAGTTATTTCAACCGTGAGTTCAAAATTTAAATCAATATTTAATAAGAATTTGGTATTACTAAAAATAAAAAAAATATTGACAATTTTTTTTAACGAGATAAAAAAAAAATAATTATGTACACAGTGTGCTCAAATTTGTATTTCCCTTATTAAATAAAATTTAAATATCTTTTATAAGCCCGTTATCTGACATTGTCATTCTTATCTGAAAAATGAGCCAATACAATATATATTTTTAATAATAAGTGTGCGTATACTTGGTTTACTGACATGTCAAATTATAAACTACCTACATAAACGTTAGCAATTAAGACGTGACAGTATTGAATCGAATTGTTATTTAAAATCGAAAGCGAGCACGTATAAATATAAATATAAATATGTACCGCTGCGTAGGTCACGTGATTAGACTCACAATTTGAAAATGTAATAGCTACTGACCTGTCTATGATAACATTCGATTATCATTAATATAACTCGGTTGACTTGTCTACCGGTCGGTGATAGTCTTCAGTCACTTTGCAAGACGAAAGGTTTGACTTTCAATCAAAGTTTGCTTGATACCGTTATCTTTCTCAATAAACTTTCTGTAAAACCAGTTATTATTCTTTAAAATTAATTCTCCAGACGTTTATTTTTTTACCGAGATAAAATATCGATACTTTGATTAATTGAAATAATAAAAGGAAAAATTATATTTGATGCTCAATAAAGTGAAAGAGTATTTAATGATCATCGAACGTATACAGAAGCGTGAATTTCAGTAGACGAGATTAAACGATATTGAGAGGTAAATATTAACGATTCTATGCATTTGTAAAATCAAATTTACCCTCCAATATATATACCTATATACCTCCAATATACCTATATATAATGCAAAGTATATATGATAGATATTATTATTATTATAATATATGTTATGATCAATTAATTTTGCTTGTGACCTGTGATTTACTTATCAATTTTCATTGTTATTTAATTATCATATAATTCATAACGAGTTACATTGAATAATTAAATTTAAAATTTCATCTCATAATTAAATTATAAAATTATTGAATTAAAAAAAATAATAATAAATATCAACATTATGTAATACATAAAATGAATTAGACGGTAAAAAAGTGTAATTGCAATTAAATATCGTTGTCGGCTTATCTAATCGATAATAATAATTATGATTTATGATGATAATAAATGAATTCAAATGACCGAATTTAAAGTAGATAAAATAAGATGTTTTATATGTACATAAAATTAGTAATTGTTAACAGTAGAAGGTACATGGAAAAAAGTAAACTGTAATAAATAACAGTCGATTTATGATAAGTAATGATCAAATGCTAAAAATTACCATTTCAAACAGTAATTTCAATCGGGATTTTACTATTCACTTTATAATATTTACCATTTAAACGTTACAATTTACTCTTTACACGGAAAAAAATACTATTTCAAACAGTAATATTTGCTATGTAAATGTCTAAAATGTTAAATGATAATAATTAAGAATTCAGACTTTGATATTTATCATTTCGTACCTAAAAAATGATCTTATGATATGTAAAAAGTATAAAATAAAGTTAGTAAATTTCTAATACAAGAAACCTCAATATTTACAAAGTAAAAATGGTAAATTTTAAACGCAACGATAAAAATCAAACTGTAATTATTGACTTGTTTGGACTGGTAAAATGTATATTTTTACTGTTTCAAATGTTAAATTCTCCCAGAGTGAGACCCCCTTCTCTTTCATCTGAGTTCCCCTTCTACTCATAATATGGACTATTTATTGAAATGGCAATTTTTACTGTTTGAAACTATAATTTTTTAAGATGAATGAAAGAGTCATTATTTACTATAGTGACAGCTACTAATCACTTATTTTGGATATTAAATTATAAATTGTGGCTTTTATACTTTCTACATTAAGTTCTGTAATATTTATATTTTTGTCACTCCGATGTCCGCTTTACTGTTTGAAACTATAAAAATTAACCGGAATCCGAGTGAATATTACAATTTACTTTTTTCCGTGTAACTTTGAAACAAATTTTATTAATATTTTTGATTGATGATTTTCAGAGTGACACTTGAGTTAGAGTAAAAATGAGTATACGCGAACTGCCAGTGGAATTGAAAAAATTCGCGAAAGAAGAACTTGGTGAAGATGATAATCATTTAATAGAAGATGTAAATTATATAATAGACTGGGTGTCGAAACAGCCTCACCTGTGTATACGTGAAGATCCACAGTGGATAGCAAGTTTTTTACGAGGTTGTAAACACAGTTTAGAGAGAACAAAAGAAAAATTAGATGCTTATTATACCATTAAAACCCATTTGCCTGAGCTTTTTCAAGATCGTGATCCAAAGCAGTCAAAGATACAAAAATCACTTGAATTCGGGTGCGTGTCTATAATATAATTATACTTAATGACTCCAGTAATTTACTTTACTCTGCTGTATTTTATTTTTTTAATAATTATAGAGTATTATTACTTTTAATTTTGCTTTTTTAGAAATTATTTACCGCTACCAATAACCGCCAAACCCGATGGCCCGCGAGTTGTGTTTATACGCGGCTCAATATTCGATTTCAAGAAATTTGGTTTTCAAGGACTCCTGAAAATATTTTTCATGATTATGGATATTTCACTGTTAGATGATGATTGGTTTGTTTAATTTTTTTTTATCGCTACTAATAATAATAATAATAATAATAATAATAATAATAATAATAATAATAATAATAATAATAATAATAATAATAATAATAATAATGATAATTTGTTGTAATGTAAATATAATATTTCAAATGAAATTTAAGAGTAATGACGGCCTTAAAACGTTGCATTTTATGTAGTGGTACAAGAAGGCAATAGTAAATAGCTTTGGGGGTGGTAGAAAATAAAAAATTGTAATATATGCAATGTCCTTGGAATTTCAAGGCTTAATGTTGCAGGGCAAGATACTGTTATAGATCTCAGCGGAAGTCGCCTCGAGCACGCGAGCTACATCACGCCTGCTCTAATAAAGAAAGCCGTTACCTGTTTCCAAGTACGCGTACTTCGATAAGAAATTGAAATTACTGTTTAACAGTAAAAAAAAAATAGTTCACATTAAAATTATTGATTTATTTATGTTTATGATTTTTCTAGGATGCCTACCCAATTAAGAATAAGAGCTTGCACTTTGTTAATCCACCGCCTACCTTCGAGACATTTTTTATACTTATTAAGAGGTTTACGAACGAGAAATTGAGAAATCGAGTAATTATTTTTTTTTAATATTTATAATTATCTAATCTAATTATTCATAAAAATTATGAGCAAAATATTGGAGATACGAAAAAACTATAAGAGACTTTTTTTGTTGAAAATTTATTTTTCTATAAAAAAAAGTCCTTGTATAATTAATAAAATTTTTGAAAAGATTTTTTACATCGAATTTACTAATTAAAAAATAAATAATATTTCTTTTCATTAATCTTGTTATTTTAATTAAATTTATAGGTAATGCTTCATCGTGAAATGGATAAAGTTTTTGATTATATCCCAAAACGTGTTTTCCCTTCTGATTATGGTGGCGACGCTCCTTCTATTGCTATATTAACCAGTGAGTAATTTAGCTTTTAATTATATTACAAATTAAAAATTACTACACAAAGAACTGATAAATTAAATAAAATTAATTTTTTCTTATTAATAATTATAATTATTCGATTGTAATGATAATAATTGATTTAACAGAAGAATGGAAGAAAAAAGTAATCGAGAAACAAGAGTGGTTTATCGAAGACTCTCAATACCGAGTGACAGAGTCAAAGAGGCCTGGAAAGCCAATTACAGGATTAGATCTCTTTGGACTCGAGGGTAGTTTCAAACAACTTGACTTCGATTGAAATTTTATAAAAAAAAAAGTCTAAAAAAAACGTTGTATAGCACTTAAATTTAAAATGATATTAAACAGTAATTATCTTATCTATCATTTTCCTCCTTTTATTTTCTTTAATAATGAAAAAAAAAAAATAATAAATAAAAATTAATATAATAATAAAATGAAAAGAAAAAGAAATTTATGAGTGTAATTAAAACAAAAAACCTCGAAATAAGAAAGCAATAAATACTTTTTATTTGGTATCATGACAAGGCGGTGAGGGTGGTTTCTTCTGATTATATGGTGGATGGAAGAGAGTTTGATCGCGTCTCCCCGATGTTGAAGAAAAAGAAGTTAAAGAAGAAGCAGAAACAGTCGACGGGTGTCGCGCATCTTTGGGAAAGATATTATTAAGTACGTGCCGAGAATTGCCGACCGTATAATAACATTATCGTTCGGCATACGACACGATCTGTATCCATACTATGTACCACATATATAACGTATATCATATAACAGCGAAGACGAGGAGTGGACGGGCATCAAAATGAGGTATCTTTGACAAGAGTAAGAGAGATGGTGCTCTCCATATAATAACATAATATACAAAGACCTCTGCTATGCTCAGATTGAGATTATTATGTATACATACAAGCTTTCGACATGAGCTTACGCGACACGTGTCTTCCACTTTGGGCATATGCGGCGTAGTTGCATAGTAGCGGGTGGTAAATTTTGTGACACCGTCGACGAGCTTGCACTAGAGTTGATAGAAGAGAATTTTGTCAAAGAGAAGACATGCTACAGAGTACTGAGTAACTAAAGGAATATAATGTTGTATTTTCTCGTCACGAGTAGTTGCGCGTGTACTCACGTCCTCAAAACGAAGATATTACGCATTCATAACGTATATTTAATACGTGCGCACTTGATTCCATCACATTACGTATTCATATAAATTAAAAAATAAAAAAATTTATGATAGTAATAAAGATAATAATAATAGCACTATTATCAGATCAGTAGTTGTAATTTACAATACATATATGATATGATATGATATGATAAAAAGTAACATATTTAAGAGCTTAAAGTGTTGGCACGCGATTTCACGGTAGTTGGATAAGAAGAAAACCACTTGACTTTGGTTTTTAAACATTTCAACAGGTGTCAGTGCTCGTATCAAATAAAAAAAGCCACCCACTACCAGCACCAACACCACCGGCATCATCATCCAGCGTTCACCCTCCAGCTTTACTTATCCCATATTCAAAGAGGTTGAAATAAAACGATCGTGCATTTATATATCGGCAATTGAAACGCACTCGCTCCATTAACTTTATTTTATGACTCATCGACGTGGTGGAACGACGAGCTGCCGAGTTTCTATTTGAGGAATAGGATGAAGAAAGTATCTGTTGAACCTCTGAATTAATATTATATTAGTATAGTACTTTTGTATGTATATAATAAAAAGATTTGACTAATAATAAATTTATTTTATGCATTGTGTTGTCTATTGTGCAGACTGAAAAATAATTTGATTAGTATTGTAGACGGATCATGGTGCTAATACAACCCATTTGTCTGTGTTAAATCGTGTTCGTTCCACTTGGTCTGTTCGGTTTCTGTTAGTTGTATTTAACGTATATAAATATATATATATATATATATATATATATATATATAGATATTAGTATAGTACTTTTGTATGTATATAATAAAAAGATTTGACTAATAATAAATTTATTTTATGCATTGTGTTGTCTATTGTGCAGACTGAAAAATAATTTGATTAGTATTGTAGACGGATCATGGTGCTAATACAACCCATTTGTCTGTGTTAAATCGTGTTCGTTCCACTTGGTCTGTTCGGTTTCTGTTAGTTGTATTTAACGTATATAAATATATATATATATATATATATATATATATATATAGCATACTGGTATACTACTTACGGAATAAAGTCACGCGCCTACACTACACCAGTGTTAATTTTTTTCCACTTGCAGCAAAAGTACGAGACGGTTTGACGCCGCGTATTAACTGATTTATTTCCTTAATACGTAATTATATACATTTGAATAATATCAAACGGTATAGTTTAACGGTTGGAGAATTGAAGAAAGCTTTTTTAGTAATTGCAAGTAATTTGAATAGTTTAACATGAGAGGTGAAGTAAAAAAAGATCGAGTGAAATATGATTTAGGGATCTAAAGGTAGATATTTTTAATTTTGTTTTATTTAGTGTTGTTTTAATAATTTTGTTTGGGTTAATTATGAAACGTGAGTAGTATTTATATGTTTTATATTGTATGAAGATTGGCGGTAAATTGCGGTAGAAGTACAAGAGTGGGCGTGGTGGAGTGGGTTCACGTGATCGTGGCATGCCACCCCTTTACATTACAACGTGGACCGAGTCAGGTATCGGATTGGTTGGGTAAGTCGAGCTTGCAGCGCGCATTGGCGTCTTGCAAGCTTCCAGGGAAGTCATCTTCACGCCTGCCCTCCTTACTGACTTGTGGCCTTCATTTATTTAAAGTGCAAGGCAGTATCTTGAGCACGCGTACCGAATAGAAACTCGAAGCCTTCAGTCATAGTATAGATAGAAGAAGAATATAGAATGGAGAAAGAAGAAAAAGAAAGAGAAAGAGAAATATAATGATACCGAGATTTCAAGGATCCAGAAAATTGGAGTAAGAAGGAAGCCCTGAAGAGATCTATGCTAAGATTACTTCCAGGAAGAAATCTCGGCAAAATTATTTTTCTAAATCGTTTAATAGTTACAAGCTATGGGTATGCTAATGGGATAATGACTCTTTGTGATGATAAGAAATTAAATTTATATTTATGACGCTTAATTGGAAAATAAGAGGTTGAAGAAGAAAAATTTTTACCACTGATTAAGAATGACCTTGTGGTGCTTTGGTATATACAATATGGATATATTGGTGCTTATAAACGGTTTATATTTAGTTTTCAGTCGGCTGACATTCCAGGCTGATTTGTTTGTCAAACGCAAGATAAATATATGCTTATTACTCACTCAGTACTTTGGTAGCAGCGGCACCGATGACCTCTTAGTTTATTCTTTTTATGCTTTCACACTAAAAGACGCTGGATTGCTCCTCCGCATACAAATTTTCAAATTCAAAGATCTGAAAATAAAAATATATATATATATATATATATTTTACGAGGTAAAAGTTTATTTTTTTCGGACAATTATTTGTAGTAAATAAAAAAGAGGTTTTGTTTTGTTTTGTAGCTGTGAAATATTTACCAGTCACGTGGAATTCGTGCCGTAAAATTCACCGTGAACTGAATATGTATAGAAAAAATTTAAACATTGAGAACTTTCGGCAAAATGATACATTAATACAAAATAATTTTTTGTTTTGATAATCAAAAATATTTTCGCATTTGAGGAATTTTTATTTATTTAATTTTTGATTGTTGTTTTGAAGGTTGAACGGGCGGGACTTTGGCTGGTTAATAAAATGAATATTCATGTTCAAATATTATTTTGTTTATTAAATTTTTGAAAGAAAAAAATGATTACGTTATTAGCTTTAAGTAGGATAATTTTATGGAAGATATGAGATGATTAATATTATTATAATGTACGACGTACATAATATAAAAGATGCCTGATATATTCGAGGAACGAGTAGAGGAAGTATCCAATTTAGCTAGAAAAAGAACTTTTAAATAATTGCCCTAACCTGCATCCATCTTTTTTCACCGTCTGACTCTGTCTAATTTGATAGAATGAGCGATTGGCAATCTTTAGCGATCTAGCGTGGAATGTTAATATTATTGTGCATAGTTTACTGGAATTATACTAATTGCATAACTATTTATCTTGTCCAGCGCATAGAATCACGGTGATGCGGCTTGTGAACTTTGTTATGCATCATCCAGAATATATAAAAACACGTATATTAATCATCGGCTAAGTAATTTTAATTTTTATCTCAATCGTTCGTCTCGAGAAGAACGCTGCCATGTATGAAATTATCACTGACGTGTGAAAAATTTGAATAATATTGCTTGACCCTCAAGTTTCAATGTGTAGCTGTATATTGTGTACAATTATTGAAGAAATATTTAGATTTATTATTCCACATTATATAACAACACACAACTCTGCTAACTATTTATTGATAGTAAATTTATTAATTAAATAATAAAATAAAAAGATAATTAAACATTTTATAATTTATAACGCAATAAATTATGTAGATAATGAAATTAATTTTCTTAATTTAAGTAATTGGCGAAGTTTAAACTCGTAATATGTATATTAAGTTATTAAAATTTTCTAATTACATTAAATTTTAATTACGTTGTTGGCAATGTGACATGAAGAAGCAAGGTATCCGGATATATAAATCTTATGTTCGTATACACTGTCGTCGACATGTTGGAATGTCGCTCTGACATAATGACTCGATCGTATACGATTCATTAACAATTACGCTTTGTGAAACTCGACAAAATAAACAACCTTAACAACTCGATCTAATTGTCTTTATATCTCATCAAAGTATCGCATTGAAGTTACATTATAATTTTCCATCTTTAATTAAATAAATTATTTCTTTATTTTTTTCATTTGAGATAAAATATAATATATTAAGTACCTTAAAGTAAAATAAGCCTACATCAATGCAAAAATTTTTAAACTTACAATATGGTTTTTAAAATATTTTTCTTATCTCAAGTCTCAATAAAAAATTTCGACATTTTATTGTAATGTACGAAAGTAACGTAAAAGTAAATATTTTGATGTGAAAGCTAATGTAATTGTTAAAAATGTATTTGATTAGGCTTATTGGATTCGTAATTTTTTATTACTAAGATATGAAACTATGTTATGAAATTATTTCGCAAATATTACATTAAATATGGATGTATAATTATCTTCTTAAAAAGATTTACTGAAAAGAATTTTAATCTTCTTTAAAATATGAAAGAATAATAGTTATATAGGTGGTTTATTTTTTAAATAAATTAATGAAATTTTTAAATTACACTAAACTAAAATAATTTTAAACAAAAATGTATATTAGATATTATTTATAACAAAGTATTCGTTATCTCAAGATAAAATGTAAAATCAATAGATTTTTATGATAAAGAGAATAATTTCTATGAGTAGGTTAAACAAGATAATTATTAAATAAATATTTCTTTGATAACAATAATCTGTATACATAATAAATAAATCTGTATAAACAATAATGAATAATTAGATTTATTTTATACATATATATACTTGGATAATGAGATTGTCATTGTCGCGAGTTACAATAACAATTATGGAAATGAAATTACAATTGATACTAACTCCTTAACGGCGAGTGATTGAAAAAAGTCATGAAAAAGTCCCGGGGAATTCGGAAGTAAATGGAGGAAATTGGAGGCCGCGAATTAAGAAGCGGAACGATGACGCGAGTTTACATACACGTTTGCTATTAGTATATCGTATAAGTGTATGTAAAATAGGAATAAACGTTTTATTTTTCTACATAAAAAGTAAAGGGACTCTGTGCGTGGCATTGTAATTGGTTGTGTCCATGAATCGTCGATTGCCAGCTCTAGAGCAGAAGCGAGACAAGACAAGACAATACAGGATAAGAAGTAGAGGATTCAGCTCAATTGTTGGTTGGTTGTGTGGCTTAGTTTATTTTATTTATCAACTCACATCGTGGTCGCCAGTGTCGGCATTCAGGCCATGTGAATAAAAGGAGAGGGAGTTAGGTGCAAAAGAGGAAGTTCTGGTGTGTATTATACGGGTCTCTGTTATGTTGGGCCCCACCATACTCGCCTATCACTCAATTGCCTTTAAATGTACAAGTTCTATTGGAGGTTCCCTCAGTTTGGTACACCACGTGTCGCTTGCCGTGGTAAAAAAAAATTAATTGGGTTTTTTTTTATTATTTACTTTTTTCCCGTACTTAAACTCGATATTGATGTCATTAATATTGAATGTGTGAGCGATAAGTTAATTTTAATCATTTCGAATCACACAATATTTAAAAAAATTAAAAGTCCTTAATTTATTTATAAAAATGTTTGTTTGATTTAACGGATTAACAATGCGCTTGTTTAATTTTTTTTCGTGCTCCGCACGCAGTGAAAATGATATTGTTCCCGAAAAAGGTAACAAAGAAATTGAAAGTCAAAGGTGTGCACCTGAAAAAGGAAGTCAATGGTTACAGTTTATCGCAGCAATCAGTGGTGAGACATGATTAATTTATAAATTATTTATTTGTTCTATAAAAAAATCATAGTGATTGTATTCATTGAGAGTGATCATTAATAATATAGGACACTTCATTTTCAAGTTAATTTTCGTGGAATTGCATATGTAGAGAAAAAAATATTTTAGAAAAAAATTAATTATTTTTGAATTGGTTTAAAACTAATTTATTAAAATATTAATTCATTTATATTTACTGCGCATTATAATACAACCAGTGTAATAATACGGTATTGTGTTATGTAGATTAGCGGAAAATGAGCAATCCTTTATTTAGTTTACACGTGAATCGCAACCGTAACGATTATATTTGTGTAACTGCAATTAATTTAAGCTTGTGAGAAAAATTATTCGATGATTTAAACTCGTGATTATGGATTCATAAAAATAAAAGTGATTGAATGTAGCAATGTATGCATGATGTGAACATAATTATAATGTATTTAAAGATCGTGTATATATTTGCACTTGCATTGTCATAAGCAGTTTTTCCATTTATTTAAGTGTAATGAATTTGGGTCATTAATTATAATATAAATATGAGTCAATCGTAACTACTTAATCAATGTATACAATTTGAAATTTTTTATCAGATCTAGAAAGTAAGATCCTATTTGAGGCCGATGATTTTGGGGAATTCCGTGGTATTTTATTTTTACAACGGAGCTATTAAGATTCTAAAATATCTTTTATCTATCTTAAGAACACTCTAAATTCCTTTCTTTTTTCTCGACGACTATGAATTTTAATAAGTTTATTATATTCTATAGATTGAATAGAATATTTAAAATTATAATTTAAAATAATGGAGCTGTCACTTCAATATTTTTCACTTTCTATAATTTTTTTTTTTTAAATTCGAGATTGATTTCAAACAAGCTTTGACTTGATTTATCATAAACTGATAAGAAATTTTTTATTTGTTTTCATTGAGCGTTCGATCCCCCTAAAAAATTATAAATAGCCATCGATGTGAGTTGAAAATAAAATTATGAAATCTAAAACAAGCTAGAATAAATTTCTTCATCCTATTTAAACAGGAGATAGGGAACTGATATGACGAATCTTTCGATCTATCATACATTTACATTAGTGGAAATAATAACTCTACGAATTTACTGGAAGCACACATAACACCCTGGTTGTATGTTAAAATAACATGTTACTTAAAAATGACACACCCTAATCTCTATAATTTTTTCGTGACGGTAACACACACTGTAATTACCATTATTATTGTAATAATCATAATGATAATTCGTATAACCACTACTATCGGTGCTATCGTTATAAATATCTCTGAAAAATAAAAAAATAAAAATTATTTGCAAAATAATTGAATAATAGAAGCGTGTTTTGTTTGATTTAATCCAGAAATTCAATTATCCGATTAGTTTTTCCGTTGCATAACTAAAAAAATTAGTTTGCGCGAGAGGCAAAGCTACTCGGCATTTATTCCTGGCAAATGTTACGTGAGCATGAAATCTCTATACAAATACATGTATGTATAGTTTTGTTGTTGGTAATAATAGTAAATTGATACAGTAGAGTGTTAAAATGGTCGATTAAACTCGATGACAAAACCTAATTCCCGAATGATTATATCTTTTGAGAGATTATAACTACATTATACACGTCTCAGTAGTTTACTATAAATTAACGTCCATGTAACGCTTGAAATTGCTGAATTGAATAATTACTTTTCGAGGTAGAATAGAAAAACAAAAAAATTAGTTAAGTCAATAAAATAAACGGTCAAACAAGATCTCCAACTAAATAAAAAAATCAATACGCTTCTTATGTATCATTATAAATTATCACATTTAAATATATTACTAACACAAAGTAATTTTCCAGCTTGCCTAGCAGTTATTGCCTGTGGAGGTCATCTCGGGTGGACATCTCCAGCTTTGCCTCATCTGACAGACCCAAGCACCCAAGGCTCGATAACCAAGAGTCAAGGTTCGTGGGTGATGACCTTGTACACAGGTGGTGCAATAATCGGGTCACTGATAAGTCCCGTGAGCATAGATCGGATTGGACGAAAATATTCGCTTCTACTACTGGCTTTTCCCCAGCTTGTTGGCTGGTGCCTCATTATCTTTGCCAGCAACGTTAAAATGCTGTACGCTGCACGGTTAATTGCTGGAATTGGACACGGTGGTATTTATAATGTCACGGTAATTTATCTCGCGGAAATAGCGGATAAAAATATTCGGGGTGCTCTGGGGACATTTTTGAAAATGTCGACAAATGTGGGGACACTATTCGTGACAGCAATAGGGGCTTATTTGCCGTACTGGCAGCTGAATCTAATTTCACTTTCAATACCGCTGTTGTTTATAATGGTCTTTGTGTTTATGCCAGAGACGCCGTACTTTTATTTAATTAGAAATCGAGTGGCCGACGCGGAGAAAAGTTTGATGGTCCTCAGGAGATTGAAGAATCGAGAGAGTGTGAGGGAGGACATTGAAGTGATGAGAAGTGCCGTCGAGGAGGGCAAGAGGTCAAAGAAAAATTTATTTTTGGAATTAGTGAGGACTCGTGGTAATAGGAGGGCATTGTTGATACTATTGGGGCTTAAAGCGACTCAACAGTTTTCGGGACATATAGTTGTAGTGGCTTACACTCAAGAGATATTTGCTCTAAGTGGCTCGGATTTGCCGGCAGCGCAGGCAGTAGTTGTCCTCGGAGTATTTCAGCTGGTAGCTGGGATCCTTGCTGCGGCTCTTGTTGATCGGCTTGGCAGAAGAATTCTGATGCTTACCTCTGGTCTGTCATCCTCACTAGCCCTGATCGCGGTTGGTGTCTTCTTCTTCCTTCAGTACAAACTTCAGATGGACGTATCATCGATAACCTGGCTGCCACTCGTGGCTCTGATTGCTTACGACGTAATGGAAGTTTTTGGTATCGGTACTCTGCCCTACGTTCTCCTGGGTGAGTTGTTTCCGACGAATGTTAAAGGAACTGCTGTCGGAAGTGGTATCTTAGTCGGGGCAGCCTTTGCTACACTCGTTGGTCTTAGTTTTCGAGCAATGAACAGCGCATTCGGAATCCATTGGACATTTTGGATTTTTGCCATCTGTTGTACCCTGGGTACTCTCTTTGTGTATTTTATTATGCCTGAAACGAAAGGAAAATCATTGGAAGAGATCCAGCAGGAGTTGAATCCGAAAAAAAAGTTTACGAGCAAACATTGAAGATAAAATACATATTTAATGTGAGAACATTTTTATAAAGTTAACTGTGATAATTTTTCAGTGGTAGATTTTTAATATCACTTTTTTTTTTTTTTTTTTTTTTTTTTTTTTTAATATTTTATTGTTGTTGTTAAGTCTGACTGTAGTTTGTAATTAAACTAATGTATTATGTAAGTTTTGTCTGTTGAAATAAACAAACAAATTATTAGATTTAAGTTTTGATACAGTTTACCAATTAAAAAATTGGCGTGTCAAATTTATTTAAGATAAGTGAATTTTTAAATTTATTTCAATACTTGTTAATATTTTAGTTAGAGTATTAATAATTTTTTTTTTGATTAATTAAATTTTTAAAAACTTTACAACTTATATTATTGATCTTGATATTTTATTGTTTAAGTATTCTATTTTTAAGAAATAAGAATAATAAAATTGTGAATGTAATGAAATAAATAAAATTTATTTTAAAAAATAATTTTAATAAAAAAAAAAAAAATAAATTAATATTAACAATTAGAATTGTGTTGTTTATTTCAATCTGTTAATTTAGCGAGAACAAATGAGCTGAAAAAAGTTTTCGTCGACATTTGGAAGCACACGTGCGATAATAACGTTTTGGCACTATACAATATTTCTATCACGTAATGTATCGAGATAAAAGAAAAAAAAATTTGAGCTAAATAAAAAAATATAAGAAAAGTGTATGGTAGTAGGCCTCCCGAAGGAGAATCCTGAGACAATAGAATCAGCGATGCTGGGAGCATCGGCCTGGAAAACTTCATCTCAAGGGTCTATATTGTCAAGTCCCGTCTCTTTATGTTACTCAACAAAGATAAAGTATGTAATAATTGTATTTATTGTTCGTCCCTCCTGATAGATTGACTGGCATAATTAATTTACTCGAACAAATAACAAATACCCAGATTTTTAATGCTATTAAGGTTAATGGATTACACTATTGAACATAAAGTTCAGTAGAGTTGTACAAAGTAATAAGATAAATTGAATTTTTTTACGTTTTAAACTGTGATTTAAAATTTATAAGTATTACAGTTAAGTCGAAAGCTAGTGCACTTTTCTCGAGGTTTATTCAAGGAATAGCTTCAGTCTCCGGACTACTTCAAACGTATAACTGGAGTATCCAATTAAATCAGTTCTGTTTGGACTTTCGGCTTGGAGCCAAAAGACTAGAGGGCAATCATCAAGGAACAGCAGTTGCAAAAACGATCGTGCGATGACGTTAAACGACGATTTTCCATTTTACCGAGATGCTACGGTTAATGTATATTATGTAAGGGGAAATCATTAATTTTATGGTCAATTATGTAAATAAAATAAACGATAAGATGACTTATTAAAAAAATAATATTCTCATTAAAAATTTTTTTCATTTTGTAATTCTGAAAATTAATTAACAAATTATTTTAAAATTTCAACTTAATTAAATTAAATTTTGAAACCTAACCACTGTATTAAATATTAACTTCTTAATTTTTGTTTTGTATTCGGGGTTGAAACACTGAACAAATATTTTCAATCGCAATTTTCGCGATAAAAATTGTTTTTTAATTTTTAATCCTATGAAATAAATTTTTAGAATGTCTTTCCATGTCTTAGGGGATCCGAGAATTTATTCCTTTTTATTCTCAAATATCTAGATGTTTTCTCAATAATTTTAATTTAGATCATTGTAAGTGTAAGTTATGCTGTGACTTTCAAATTCTGAGCCAAATTGAACTGAGACGTTGATATTTGTCCGTAATTCAATCAAATCAAACTATGAATTAGCTATGTCAAGAACATGTTGTCCTCTCGAACCATTCTAAATAATGAAAATAAATTGATATATTTAAGCTCATTAGGTTTGCAAAATTCTTTTTGTAGCCAATAGTGTTCTAATTTTTAAAATATCTCAAATAAAATTTCCTCAGTAGTACGTTAAAAAAGGGATCAGGAGGTAAATGTTGCAATATATCTTGATAATAGCGCACATTAAGCTTGTTTTATTAGATGAAAAATCTAGTCAGCAGTAAAAGTAACTATCGCAACAGGATAAAGTATGTCCGAGAGTTAATTTAGGAATGATATAATAATAAAATAACACAAGAAAAAGGTAACGAGAAATGATGGCGTACATCTTAGCACGAAAATGTCTCCAGCAAATCACGGATTTTATTGGCTTAAGAGTTACGGTGATGTCAATCCGACGATCTCTAGTTTAAATTTAATGTCCGTCGAGATTTTTACGGACGGGGTATATACCACCACAGACACTGTCTTTCCATTTGGAATTGGACATTTTGGTGACGGTGAGTACGTCCTTAATTTAGCCGCAGTATAAGGGAGTTAGTTTGTTCAATGTATGTTGTATGTCCAGTCTTTCTTATATTTTCTTTTAACCACGTCCATATTATATTTACCTGTACATAAAACATATTACATTTATGGGAGTAATAGGAAAGTAGCTCGTTTCGTGGCTCGTATAACGGCTCAGAGCTGCTTAACTCTGGTTGACCGTATAAGATGGAGGAATACACGGTAAACTATGTACTTACTTACCCTTAATAATGCGTCTGGGTACACAAAAATAGCTGATGCACTGTGTAAAAAATATAACCTTTGCTACTTTATATATGGGGTATAATAATAATAACAAAAAAGAAATTGAAAATGAAAAAAATTTTTTCTGGTAAATAAAGCAGATTAAATTTTTGTTTTTTATTTTCAACTTTTTTAATTTATAATTAAATTTATTAATGGACTTATGTCAATCATATCAGTCAGAGTGACGATGATGTAAAAAGTTTTAAGCTGGTAGTCTGGTGTGAGAGAAGTGTAAAGGAAAGGAGAGATAGTGGCCTAAATTTGGCTGGTGTAAGAGCAAGAATTTATAAAACAAAGTACATACTTACCCCAATAAGCTGCCAACGAGGGTGGTTGCCAGAACAGCAGCGATGCGGTTACACGAGGGTTTCTCGCGGCCGATATGAGAAATCGGTGTGCAGTCAAATTGAGAGACTGAAACAGAAATACAAAGTACGGTGGTTAAACAGAGGAACTAAATGGAAGAAATAAGCCGTAAGAATGCCAAGAGAAAATGAATCTCACTCCGGAAATTATTCAGGCTCTTGAGCTGGGTTAAATAATAATGAAATAAGAGAATGAAAGTTTGCAATGAGAATTTCCGTTTTTTCACCTTTAACATTTTTATTCTCTTTGCAGCTGGTGACAAAAGTTTGTCGGAAATTTCAGACTCAGTACAGACAGGCGCATCGAAGATTTTTATAAAACGAAGACACTGGTGATGTGTACATAAAGCCAGGAAAAATTAAAACAAATATTAAAATTATAAAAAAAATTAGGAATTGCCGAGTCTGGTTGCCCATCAGGGGAATACACCTCAGAGCCCTAGAGACTTGTCGAGGGTGCTTTGATTGCCAACAGCCAGTGAATAGTGACAGGCCTATTACCAAATGCTAATATAAGAACCAACAGACACCTCACTACATCGCGTAACAAACTCATGCTCGTTCAAGCTCTATACCTCCTTCTATTCTATCTCCTATCCATAGCATATTGCAAGCTGTACTCTACTCATCTCTTCGCAGTGCCATTCTTGGTATCTCAGCATTCTCTTCGTTGTCGTTGTCATCATCCGCGGCGTCCTACTTTATTTCTTCATCCATCCGGACCGAGTAATTATATATAAAAAGAACAAGAAAAATAAGAAAAGATAAAAAAGATGGAAAATGTAAATAGCCACAAAGAAACTTCATTTTCATATAATTTATTTAATATTTTATTATTTTTTCTTAGACATACAACGAAATGATTTACGTTATTTTATCTAAAATAAAAGGATTTATTTACATAATAATATTTATGAGAATAAATTAAATTTGTAATTTAAAATATGAGTATAAGGACTTGATTGTTGTCATGATGAAAATAGGTATTTTATGCTTGAAAATTAAATAAGTTATTTTATGGTTCCTGATCATTATTTTTCGGACTATTATTTTTATATTTGTATATTTATGCATATAAGTTTATCATATAATAATGACTTAATGAGTTTTCGTAGAAAGTGAGTACTGAGAAGGAACAAATAAAAATAAAAATAAAATTGCGGAGTAATTTATAAAATTTTTTCGATCGTAAAACACACTCTGATGCTTCGCATCATGACTCGTGCAATAAACACCCTGAACACTAATTTACATCGTTATTTGAAGGTTCATTCATTCTATTCGGTGAAAAAAGATTTTATCTGTCGTACATCGTCACGCGACATCACTTGGACCCTAATGCTGATCGCGATGACCCCTCGAACGAACGAAAAGACCTAATACGAGTTTGGCCTCATCCTCCCTCGCCCTAGATGCCCTTTATAACCTTTCCCTACCCCTAACACGTACATTTTTGTAAGCTAAGTTGTTCGTGAATTCAAGACACGTTCTCGTTTCGTTTTTCGCGCGAATCGAGCGTCGATGAGACGGTACGCGACCCGACTCGATCCTCAAGGCTCGATTACGTCGGATTAGCTCGTCCTTGGATTAGTTTCCGGTCTAAGATAACAAGTCAAATTATTTTCCCGTGAGTTTATAAATAAGACGCTGGATATTTTATTATACATGTCATCGTTAAGCTAAATTGGGACCTAGGGTTTCGATTCAGCGTCCACAAATTCCGTATTATCGTTCGATAAAAACATATGTGCTCAAGAATAAATAATGATAAACGTAATACCATCGTCAGTTCACCAAATTACCCAGATAAATAACATTTTTACACGAACGTTTATTAAAATTGGACTTAAAAAATAAACATTATCACAATAATAAAATAGAGAAAATAGCCGCCGTAAAAGAATTCCCACTTAAACAACCCCTAGGTAATCCAGAGTAAAATCCTCTCGCAATCATCTATTGGTGTTCTCTCTCCTTATCGACCTTATCCCTTAGATATAGTCGGGAAAGACGGGCCATCTTTGTTCTCGAGACTCACCCGTGATTGCAAAATAAGCGACGCACCTGCTCTCAGTGCTTCCATTTCTTAGCACCCTCAATTTCAAGAGCATATCCCACCAGTTTAGTTTCTCGAAGGACACACTACTCTCAATACAGCTCTAGCTCATCTAGAAACATATAAAGATCCCGGCAAGGACATTGCGATGCGCTGAATAAGGATGCAAGTCCTATGTATAAGAAATACAGAATACAACACCAGAAAGGTCGGGTTGGGGAATAGAAATAGGAATGATTTTCCGGACTCGACGGTGCTGGTGCTGATGCTGGTGCTGGTGGTGTTACTGCTGGTTCAGCCACCACACGGGTAGTGGGCGTGTGTAGATCCACCCCTGGACTCTCGGTGTATCCTCGACCACCCTACGGTTAAAGCCAAATAACGTTTTGACTCACCAAGTCAGGACACGTACGACAGCACGGCTATATGTTTGCGTCAGTACCAGCTCGCCCTCTACTCTCGTCTCTCGTATCTGACTTTCTTCTGCTTCTTCGCCTACCTTCATTGATGCGACACAACGTTTCCTCAGTTCTCTTTATTTTCTTCATTTTTATTTTTTATTTCCTTCGGTGGTTCTATCTCTTTTTTCTAGCGCGTGTCATCCTTACACAGTAGTACGTGGCCTAGAAGAGTGCAAGTACACGTACGCGACAAGGGGGCGTATAAATTTTTCTTATATATCTGTGTATAAATGTGTACGTGTCCTTGTATGACATTGGGTGGTATTGCCTACTCCGGTTGTCCCTTCATCCACTGTACTGCTTTTCTAACTAAATTATTGCGAACTCTCGGTGACATTTAACTTTTCACAACCTCACCGCAGTGTCAAAATTTTATTCTTTCAAACATTTTATATTAATGTTATTTTTATTTTTATTTTCAATCTTATTTTTTGTTTCTCGATCCTTCAGATGCGATACAAAAAATATTTCCTTAGATAATGTGTTTGTTCTTATTGGTATATTGTGTTTAGCTCAACTAACAAATCTCCGGAGATATAGAAGGTTTGGTATAAAAAAAAGGGTTTGATAAAATAAAAAATAAAGCATCGAAAGACTTTAATAACGTCTGAACACGTTTCGGACATACGAAAGACGTAAAGACAATAAAACTCTAACGTGTCGTTGGCAATTGAAAATTGACCGAGAGCCAAGGATTTAGACAATTGTCTGATCGACTAAAAAAAAAAAATAAGTGAAAAACTAAACAAACGCACGTATTGGAAAATCCCAGCAATAAAATTTCAAACCATATATTACTGTATTTATAAAATAAAGTTATGAAAATGATGATTCATAACCAAGGAAAACGATCTTCTAGATAAATCTGGTATGCACATAATAGTTTGCGTGGGATGAAATAGTATAACTGTGAAACCTTGTGCTAAGCATCGAATATCCATCTCACTTATAAGATATTCGATTACAGTGAACGATAACTCGCTAACTCGAGTATCGTTCAAACTTTACGATAACTAATGTGTCGATTTAATTAATAACGTTGCTTACATTACATGCTGATGAATGAGCCAACGGCGCCTGGTTGATTGGAAGTTCTCTGACTTTCCTCTTCATCTTGTCTTGTCTTACTATACTCTGACGTTATGTGTGTTAAATCCTTCAGATACAGTGCTGTCAAACTTATATATACCGAGAATGTGATGCAGAATATAGATCAAGTGTTTGGCTACAACCGAGAGTAAGCACCCGTGGGTTTATCCACATCATACGGTACAATGGCTTAGTTGTTCGAAACCTATATGCTATAATAATAAACCTATCAGTTGAATTTCTGTGTGAAACTGTGATACACCGTACTATGCCATCAGCTGTTATTTAACAAAACTTTAACAACCATTCTATTTAATAGATACTGCCTACATTATATTAAATAAAATTTTAAAATACAGTTTAGTTATAAACAAACCGAATGTAAGCTGTCATTTTGGGTAAAAACCGATAACAGTAACACGAAGATGAAGTGAGACTTGAGTTTATTTCTCGCACGATATCCTCGAGTGTATAGTGTGCAGTATATAAACCGGGAGCCTGAGAGAAGTCGATCGTGGAAGATGGACAACGGTGATCCGAGACGCGGTAAAGACGTCCGTCACGTAAACGTACCACCGCCCGAGCGAAACGGTTTCACGAATGGCCAGGATTCTGATCGAGTAAGAGAGCAACCAAGACAGAGAGTAAATGCTGATAGTCCACCGAGCAGACAAGGACAGGTCTGTACTTCGAGTGTAAGGAAGAGAGAGTAGAGGTGAGGTAAAAGAGGTAAAGGGTTCGGTTCTACTCTTTGAAGCGTTCACTAAAAACGATGGTCGTATAAAATTGTCGACTTTATCGGTACTTGCTCGAAACCGAAGTGAATATAAAATGCGTCGTCCTCCAGAGACGATATATCGTTCAAGAGTATACATGCATGGCATGCTATTGCTATAACTTGTGACATACGGTTACGTTTACACGCAATGGCGATCCAGACTAATATAATGATACATTTTGGGCAGGGGCTTTGTGGTTTAATGCCCAACAAAGAACAAGTTTAAACTCCTTAGAGCGCATACATACTCCCTCACTGGGATCTATTTGGTTGAGGTTAATATCTGCGGAGTACTGTACTAAGCTACTGATATGAGTTTATAGTGCATATATGTACATAGATTAAGATAGATGGAGAGATAGAGTACATGTGCATAGAAAACTTCTCGATTACAAGGCAAGACGAGACATAAGAAAATATTAATGTCTTATTCCACGGCGAGGCTTCACTTGTTCGCTTGAACAAGAGATTTTGAATTAAATCAAAAGCACGTCATGAGAAACATTACTCGGTATACAGTCAGACATATACAAAGATATATAATAGGTATAGGTATAGGTATAGGTATACATTAAGAATAGCGTCACGGTGACACTATCACCGGTGCGGTTGTGACGATAAGATATCCCAGGGAACCCTACCAGACAATGTCGTTTCATCTGTGAACTGTGAATCCAAGCAACCAAGCAATCTCTCTTCAGCTCTTCTCTTCTCTTCTCATCTTTTCTTCCGCGGGTATCCTATCCCAAATACTCACACCTCTCACTCGGACAGGCTTTTACTTCAGTCGCATCGAAATTCGCTTGCCACTGCGTTTCTACACCACTCACAGGCTATTTTATCCACTGCACT